AATTACCAGCATAGGTAAATATAAGTATAAGTTTAAAGAGAGAACATTCTTAGCAAGAAATAAAAATAAAGTCTAAAACTTTCTTAACAACATACTAGCTATGTATAAACCCAAACATTTTTGTAGTTTTGATCCAAGCATTTGATATAAATAACACATATGCATAAGTATGTATAAAATACAAGATTTTTTGCTACTTAACATTATGATTTTATTTCACCAACACAGTTTTCATGAAAACACCCAATAGGTAGGTATGTATGTATGTAAATCTATATTTCTATATTTTGCTATTTAATTTTTTTAATGTTATTTTTTAAAATATATTGAACACAAGTTGAATGAGGAGAAGTAGCGAAGTTCTAGCAAATGCTAATTATGGCTGATTCACATACAATTTTCGCTTCGCTTCGATCGATTCGATTTTCGCTTGGTTCGATGATATGAGTTTGTTCACATAGAAGCTAAGAAACGCAACGGCGAAGCAAAACTCTCATCTTTTAATGCTTTGGCTATCTCCAGTCGCCATTTTCATAAGAGAGAAGTACGGAAAACAAATCGTTCATTGTGACATATCCTATGTCTTATTCGCTTCGTTGTTAAAGTATGAACTGTCGACCAAAGCGAGAAAAGTTTTATGTGAATCAGCTATTGTTCTCCATTCAATCCGGTGGCTTCGTCTCTGAGTAAACAACCAACCAACCAACTTATTAGTAAAGATAAGTTATACAAAAGTATGTACAAGTAGATAGTATGGTATTCAACTAAATGAAATATTTTCGCTTATACATACATTCAATATATACTCACGAAATATGAAAATTATTTACAAACTACTTATACTACCATCATCTTACGCGAAGTGGTTATTTTTATAAACAATTAACCTTTTAATCGCAACGTACGCTTTATTACCTTTTTGTTTTTTGGTAAACCTGGATTAATTGTGTTTTACATTCTCTGGTTATATATAAAAATATTTGTTTGATCTTGGTTTGCAATCGTGTTACTATATTTAATTCTATAACCGCTAAAAAGCATAATTTTAATTCACATGCGTACAAGAGTGATATTCTATTGTTAAGGGTGGTCTGAATTATTTTTGTTAAAATTAAAGTTTTAGATAGCCAAGTTATGAAAACGTTTCATGGATGAGAAATAAATTCTGTTTGTCTTTTGAAAATAATCTAAAACATTCGTTTTTACAATAGGGAACAGTGACCACTACTGAATAGGGTAAACTAATTATAACAAAATAGCACCATTATCACGACGAAAATTTAACAAAAATGTATCGTCTCCATAAACTTGAAAGAAAAGAAACAATTACAAATTTGGTACGTATATGTATGTTAAATACCTTGATATCAAGTAACCGCTTTATTTAGAGTAAGTACAATTTACTTGGAAATTTACCAAACCTTTCAAAAATCATCAAATTGTTTATTGTTTTTGATTTAAAATCTTAAGTTATTGCTTATACTTATAAAGCAAGTTGACAATTTGCGGTGTAAATATCATGTAATTTAAATTGTGCTACGCTAAATTTTAGAACTGTGTCGTGAAAATATAATTGCTTGGTTTCCGTTTATCGTGTCTTTTTCGATTTATTAATGCATTCACATATATGTTTTTGGATTACTAAAATTAAGCATGATCATTTTTTCAGACACAAGAAAACATTAAAATGCATACACATTTACAATGCGTGATGAAATACGCTTTCGCATAGATGGGAAAACAGTTATTTGGAATAAAGTAGTTAAATACGTATGTTCGTATATATATATTAAATGAAAAGGCAATTATTAACAATAATGTGATACATACATACGTACATATAAGTTCACATACATATCATAAACCAATCCTTTCTCATGTCACAAAAATTAATACTATCCGTACATAAAATTTAAGTATTAGATAATCATTGACGCGTACCTACACGTACTTATTTACGTATACCATACAATTGAATTCAGACAATCTTGCGCATAGGCAGAACAACATTATAATTTTGATATACATACAAATACTGACGTATTGAATGATTTAATAGATATTTTACTTGCAATATGTAAATGTCATAGATGTATACATTTACAAAAGCCTATTTATATAATTAATATGTACATTTCATCCCTAAATTTTATCGAAAATTTCAAATCACATAATTGCTTTTAACTGTATTTTTAAATAGATCTTTTTGTTGAATTTAATTTGTGGAAGTATTATTTCATGAAATTAAAACGAAATATCTTCACATTTTCACCAACCTGTTTATTTGTTTGTACCACTTTTCACCTACCAACCACTACCACCACTACTTTACTACTACTGCTACTGCAAATACTATGCAACCAATCTACTGTGCGTTCGTATCACGAAAGATTCCACGACGAGGAGCACGCAAATTTGCTAAACTCCATGTGGCTAACAGCCATCACGTTCCTATGCGTGGGATATGGTGATATTGTACCCAACACCTATTGTGGACGCGGTATAACGCTTACATGTGGCATGGTGGTAAGTATTTTGACAAACGTAACAAATCCAAAAAAATATCCCAAAAATGTGCAACAAAAGAACGGAAACCCAACAGAGACACATTTTTTCAAACCATGGTAGACTATCTTTGAACGATAAATCTCAACCTAAACGTAGGGTATACATACATGTAAACAGCTCTTAATTGTTAATATTTATTAAAAAGTAAATAGTATGTATGCAAATTTGTAATGTTTAATCAGAAGTCGAGTTAACGGATCAGCAGTTGGTTGGTTGTTTAACGTCTATAAATACAAACAGAGTATATACATAACATGTACATATGTATACATATCTAAGTATTTATGTACACAATAAACGTGTGTATTAGTGTATATATTTACGAATATGTAACTTTTCAGAACGTACATATGTAAAGATACATATGTATGTACTTTTATCGTAGTTATCACATAACTAAAAGTGTTATGAGGGTATCTTCGGATACCTATTAAAATTCATACTAGCATTTAACAGAAATACTATCCTTTTATCTCAACGTTTCGAAAGCTATTTGAATCTAGTGATACCTTACATTTTAGTGATCATGTTCATAATAGTATTAATAACTTTATGTATGTCGTTTCGTGTTTAAAAGCAAAGTGAGAACGTTTCTTTTTTTGTTTTCAGTGTTTTTTCAAATTTATATTTATGTTTCCATGGAACAACATACACATAATTATTTGGACATATTTTCCAAATACAAAATTTAACTTAAAGTGTCTAGAAGTTGGCGTTAGAATTTTTTGTAAAATTTCTTGAAGGTTTTATATTCCTTATATCCACTTGAATGTTAAAAAATACACGTTTTTCTTATGAATTTCTTAGTTTTTTTTTTGGAAGAGGCATTTTATTCAATAAATAAATCAACAAATGTACCTTAAAAAGTGTCTTACGGTAAATAAGAAGTTGATGCTTAAAATTATTTAAAATTCACTGAAAAATCAAATCCAAAAGTCGAAAAAATTTATTATTATTATTATAGATGAATACAGGTTTTTGATTGATTGAAAAACTAGTCAAAATTTTCATTTTTGTGAAAATGGCGCCTTCCCAAAATAAAATTCGTTTTTTGTGAAAAAATTAACACAAGACTGGCTTAAAAAATTATTTTCAAAACTCTTATTCCTTCGATCGTTTCCTAGCAATTAGAAATCAATAAACAGAACACCGCTGTATACTATGCAATTTTCATCATTTACCTTACTCTCTCCTATGTCATTCAGTATTCGTAATTTTTACCGTATTTTCAATCAGATTTCATGAATTATAATGTGTATGTGTATGTAAACAATGTTAAGTAATTATCAAATTATATTCAGATAAAATCGACAAATTTTAATCAAGGTAATCTTCTAAAGTTTTTTTACGTCATTAAATTTTCGAAATGTCAACACCAAATCATGTAACTTTGAAGCATTAATCATCAAAAAAAACTTATTTTAGAAGAGCAACAAAGGGACTTAAACCACAACTCCCACTTATTACCTTTGAAATAAAAAGAATTATTATTTTCAACAAGATTTGGCATATATACAAATATATTAATACGTATATGTAAGCAAAGAGGAAAAATTAGACACAATTTGAACCATATTTTGAACATCTTTATTATATTTATAATTAGATTTATTTAATATACAGACTACATTTAATGTCCCTTAATCCTCTGGGTATTTGTCGCATTTAGTCCAAGTTTTGTGAAGTTTAGTCTGGCGAACATAGTCTAATAATATATACATACAAATGTATCAAGTGTATGATGTGTGTTAAAATATTGTATCCTCGACTCTATACTATATATATTCAACGAAAGGTATAGGCCGTCACTTTAATAATTCCCTTATTGCGAACGTACATGTGTATGTATGAATGTATGCATGTAATTATTTTTTCTTACAACAAATTTTAATAGCAAACAAGAGCTTCAAAAGTCGATAGTGTTTAGTTGATAGGAGGCGCTTCAAACAGATTCCTAAATTAATCATTAGTAAATTGACTAAACGTATCTTAACTAACTAAATTAGGAGACACTTGAGGCGCCTTTACAACCTCTAATTTGAAATCTACAACGTTTCTGCAATTTTTATTACAAATTAATATTCGTGAACAAAGCATCCACGTTTACTAATTTCAACAAATAAGAAAGCAGAAATTATCAAGTGCACTAAGGTAATTCAATAAGATATGTATGTACATACATTCGTGAAACCCTCGATGAATACATGTGTGCATATAATGTGTTTAATGTGGATATGTGCAAATATATACGTTGTGTATTTGTAACCTTTTAACACCATTTTATTAACGCATACTCGTACGAAAGCAGTTTGCCTCACATCAAACATCAACTTAAAAAGTTATTGTATTTTTTCATATTTGCTTGAACATTTCGCACTGTTGCATACAGAAACAACCCTTTTTATGTGTGTGTGTATCTACAACCCGTACAGGTTTCATGACGAAGAACATGCAAATCTTTTGAATGCAATGTGGCTGATAGCAATAACATTTTTAAGTGTCGGTTTCGGTGATATTGTACCAAATACGTACTGTGGACGTGGTATTGCCGTCAGTACAGGAATAATGGTGAGTGCTGCAGCTTGCGACACGTACATGTTTGTACATACATAAGTAAAACATATGTACTATAAGTATATATGTATGTATATTGTATTATTTACAAAAATTAGCAATCAATCATAATATTATTGTCGGCATATTAAATAATAGTAAGTTTATATTGTAATTCGATTTAAATAAAGCTCTATATGGTATACTATATGAAATCCGTAAAAGGTATTATTTTAAAGTGGGCTGTATTAAATTGGATTATGTTGTATTTAGCATTACTTAATTACTAAAAATTCATTGAATGAACATTTTTAGTCAATAATTTGTATAAGGTATCTATACTTAAGGTACTATATCCATTAGTTTTTTGTATAAAATTATTACTAATAGGCTTTATAGTAAGCAAATTAACGTTAGCAATCAACCATAGTTACATATATTTTCCAACGATTTAATCATGTCTTTGAACAGTATTTTTCCGAATAAGTAATAATGAAATATGTGCTCATTACATTGTAATATCTTATATTTAGAGAGAAGAATATCTGTATCTCTGATATCTGAAATTGATGATCGGTGATTAAAGAATTGAACTTGATCAACTAGAAAAATTTGATTTACAATAATTGCTTTTTATTCCCATAATTCAATTTTTGGTGGTGATGCTGTGCGGCTAATGATAATTAAAGCTAATTACGCTACACAGTATCCAATAAAAAGTCGCCTACAAAAACACTGTCTTCACTTCAGATAATACTACATTATTTGCAAATTTAAAAGTTATAAAAATATCACGGACTTCTGTTCAGTTTAGTAGAACTGGATTGAATTCAAAATTACTTTAAAAGTATTGTAAATAATATGCGAATGCATTTTTAATTTTAGTATAAGTAGCATAAATTTAACCCCTAAAAATCCATATGTATCTACTTATATTATTTACTTTTTAAACGAGGAAGTGTTATTGGATTTAAAATAAAAAGATAACTAAATTCATTATACTACCTGTATTAATTACTTTAAAAATTAACAAAATAATGTAGAATTTCAAATTGAAAAATAATAAATTTAGTTATTATTGCCAAGATAACAACTTTTGTATCAATGAAATTTTATTGTTTAAAACTATTTATTCAGTTTTTACTTAACTTAAGTTTATTTATAATTATGTTCGAAAAATTTTAAAATAAGCTAGTTGTTTTTGTCTGGTTTGTTGTGACTGTAAGAAAAAAGAATTTTATTAAAATCAGATGACATGAAATGGTTATACTCTCCAAGCATAATTTTATCAAATAACCATAATAGCTGCTTTGCTATTTAGGACGTTCTTTTTATCGAATTAAATTACAGATCGTCAAATTTGAAATCACTCTTTTCAGAAATTCGTTAATACTCTGAAATTTTATTACAACACATTAAATCAGATATACAAATATAAGCCACTTTAATTATAGGCAGTTTTGTTGTTGTTGGATATTATTTCTAGATGCATACATACATATGTACATTGCAAAAGTAATATAAAATATATTTCTTTCATTAAAGTTATCGTTGAAAGTCAGTTATTTGCTGAGCTGAAAGTCTAATAGAAATTCAAGTAGACAACAACGCAACTTGGCGTCTTTCATAAAGAGAAAGTTCAGCTTCATTTAATTTTTGGCTTCAGGACACTAGCATGATATTAGCATCGTTATAAGATTTTGTCCTTTCGTTTGTGTGCATTACAGTAGTAATAAGTGCCCATTATAAAGATTTATTAGAATCATATTCATGCTTCTTAGAATTTTTACAATGGTTATTCCCACAACTTTTACAGATATGAATAAGTAATATAAGTGGTCAGATATGTAGTAATAATTGTGATCATGTACTTTATCAGGATCGCGCTAAAATAAGACAACTTCTAAGAACAGAGCCGTTACGTTACTGTTACAGATAATAAAATATATATTGTAAGAAGTATGTATTTAGGAAACGTCGGGTTGAGATTTAGAAAATGTTACGGAAATAACTACTAGTGATGTGTCAAAGCACCAGACAGATACCAAATATACATTTGGGACAATGGGTATAAGGTTATAATACTTACATATTTAATAACACTTTTTATTTAATTACAGGGTGCCGGTTGCACGGCCTTGCTTGTCGCCGTCGTTTCGAGAAAGTTGGAGCTCACCCGGGCTGAAAAACATGTTCACAACTTCATGATGGATACACAACTAACGAAAAGGGTATTCGAAAAAAGTTTAAGCTTTTACAAAAAGTATAATACAAATCGTAAAATAATTCGTCAAAAAATATTAATTAATAATCTCTTTCATAATAAAGTATTTTTATTAACAGTTTTTTATAATTTAATTTTATTAGTCCGAATTGAGTGAATTTATATTTTTCTTATCATGCTTATTTATTTAAGATAATATAATAGTAATTTTATATATAATATTTTTTCTCTCGCAACATGTTGCTACAGAGTATAGTAGTTTTGTTTACGCAACGGTTGTTTGTCAGGATGACGAGTTAAAATCCGAGTGACTGTCCCTCTGTCTGTCCGTCCATCCGTCTGTTTGACTGCGAAAGCTGTAACTTGAGTAAAAATATCTTAATGAAACATGGTACATGTGTTCTTTGGTGAAAAAGTAAGGACGAGTTCGTAGGTGGGCGTAATCGAACCACTGCGGTGCCCACAAAACACCATTAATCTAAAACTTATAAATTTCCATAACTAAACAAGTTGGTGTGGCTCCGCCCCTTTTTTAATGTATACATATATCTCCCAAACTATTCAAGTTATATCACCCATATCATTTCAACACCTCTTGCGATAACATGAAAATAAGTGAAATCGGATGATAACCACCCCCTTATATAACGGTTTTGTTAAAACTACGATAAATGCGTCAGAGACATTAAATTTTACAACCGAGTTGGCACAGAAGGGCTTTATAGGAGCAGGTGTTAAATTTCGCACCGCTCACATTTAGATGAAATCACATATATCTGAGCCTACTCCACCAATATCAATCAAATGTGGTACATAAGATTATGACATAACAGTGCGAAAACTGACGCAATCGGACTACAACCACACCTCCTTCCCATATAAAACAATTATAGATTCCATATGATTCTTTCATTTTCCAGTACACAAAATTAAGAACCAATGTGTTCAAATGAAAAGGTGAATTTGGATTTTTCGCGGTCTGTATATTCGATTATCGATATTTTGTTTTTGTTATAATTGGACACATATGTTTATTATGTGCTTGCATTAGAAGCCAATTCCGATTAGTAGTTTCTTTTTGACAACTGAAAAGGTTAGTCACGTTTTGTGTGCGTTCAGATTTTTGACTTTCAAAAGAAATTGATCAAAGGATATGTCTTAAATTTTGCATTAAAAATGGAATGAAGTGCTCTAAGGCACTTGAAATGTTGACTGTGACATTCGGTGAATCCACTTTGTCTTAAATAGGTGTTTATAAGTGGTACAAGCACTTTACAGAAGGCTGAGAAGATGTTGATGACGATGAGCATCCTAAAGGTGCGACCAAGTCAACAAGCGAAGAAAACATCGAAACAGTGAAAAAAATTGAAAATCGTCGAAAAACTATTAGGGAAGTTACAGATAATGTTTCCATATCAGTTGGCTCATGCCATTCAATTTTCTCGATTGTTTTGGACATGAAACGTGTGGCAGTTTGTTTTGCATCACGATAATGCACTAGCTCACACATAAATGCTTGTTCGTGATTTTTTGGCCAATAACAAAACCGTAATCATGCCTCAACTACCGTCTTCTCCAGATTTGGCTCTCTCCGACCTTTCCTTATTCTTAAAACTGAAGAAACTAATGAAAGGAGCTGCCACAATTGATGAGATCAAGTCAGAATCGAAGAAAGGGCTGATAGCCATACCGAAAATCGCATTTCTAAAGTTATTCGAGGATTTGAAAAAGCATTGGTACAAGTGTATTATTTCCGAGGGGGACTATTTTGAAGGCGAAAAAATAGATATTGATGAATAAATAAGTACATGTCAAAAAAAATTCAAAATTCACCTTTTCCTTTGAACATACCTCGTAGTGGCTTTGAGGTATGCCATCTCGAGTATAAAATTAAATTCGGACCATAACTTTTCAAATCTCCATTTACCGAATATGTGGACCCCTGTGCGTATGTCTGACTTTTAGTCGAAAATATCAGTTAAACTATGAGATATATTTCTGGGATACGGGAAAATATTTCTTTGATAATAATATTCTCTATTGTCAAAAATGGCGGGAATCGGATCAATACTCTTTTAGCTCCCATATACCTAATATAAAGATTTTCGAACTTCCAGTTGACTTTATACCACATATTTCGGCCAATGTGGGAGTTATTTTAATTAAATTGAGAGAGCATATTTTTCTAATAACAGAGTTAAAACTAAGTGAGTCTTTGACCTTCAATATAAGTTAATATGATACCAAATTTGATTGTAATCCATTCACCATTTCGTCAATGAAGTTGAGCATTTTCGCTACATTTCTCATTAGTTTAGCAAACACCTAAAAGTATTTCCCCGCCTTTGATTCCTGCAAGTTGCAAGAGTGTGAAATGTTCGGTTACACCCAAACTTAGCCCTTCCTTACTTGTTTTCCAACTATTGGAAAAAATATGTCGTTTCATAGATTTCATACGAAACAGTAAGTTTTGCAATTAAAATTTTTTTTTATTGAATTAAAAAAATGCAAAAGAAACAAAGAAATTTCCCTTAAAATAATCAAACTGTAACTGTTAATATCTTTTAAAAGATTCTCGAAAGAGATTTGTAGAGCATTCAATTATCTACGAGATATTTTTTCAAGTTGTTGGAAGCGAGATATGAATTTTTCTAACATATCTGATAATAAGATTAAAGTTACAATTAACAGCTCATACATGAAGAGATTTTCTAAGAACCTATTTTTTAGAGTACCAAGCGAAAAATAAATTTCATTTTTTTTCACCCACCCTAATATATATATGTATATTGTATATATTTATGTATTTATGTATAAATGTATATAATAGAATGCACACTATTTTAACATATTGTATTGAAGTTATTCATCTAAAATTTATTTCATTTCTTCCTTGCGTCATAATTTTAGCTGAAAAATGCAGCGGCAAATGTTCTTCGTGAAACTTGGCTCATTTACAAACATACAAGACTAGTAAAACGGGTTAATCCCGGACGTGTAAGAACCCACCAAAGAAAGTTCCTTCTAGCTATATACGCGTGAGTATTCTAGAGAAACTTGTCTCACAGCTTTTATGTGCAATGTACTCTGTGAAAGTCGTAATAGTTATTCAAAATTAAACATTGTACAAACAGACAATATTCCTCAATTTCATCAGTGGCATTTGAACACTGGCCAAACTTTATACTAATGTTATATTAATAATTTTGCTTTGCAAGTTTTTTATCCCACCCAATAATCACCTCAAGCGACCCTCAACTAAAATTTCAAACTAATAATGTTTGCTTACAAGCATGTTACTTATAACGTTTGGGCTATAGCTCGTTTTATTTCCATACTTATTACAATATAATGTGTTTTTCCATATAAATTCACAATTCTCGCAATAAAAAATGCATGTGTGTAAACTCCATTTTTGGCACCCCTATAATCATTCAGTGGCTATATCCACATTTGCATACGTTGCAGGTTTTTAATATGCATATAAATATCGGCTCATTATTTAAAAAAGTTAATCTAAACTCGTTTTACTAGCCTGTAACTAGGTTGTAAAGCCCTGTTTACATATAAAAAATACACAAGCCATAAGACATATATGGATCAGCTATTATTAATTATAACAGTAAAAATAAAATTTATATATCAAGTCGTTAATTTTCTAGAATTTCGTATCTCAAGCCAATATGATCACTTTTGCTTCACGCATTTACATAACCATAGTTTTCGTAACTGTAAGTGTATTTGTCTCTCTGCATACCCCTTAACATTGTGTAAGCTTGTCGGTGTTATTGGTGGACTTACACTAAAATGTAAACTCCAATTTTCACTTTGAATATTAATATCCATAATTTCGTTAGTGTTAAGATTGCAGAAGTCTCTACTTCTTCTTCTTTACCTCTCACACATATTTCAATATATAAATATGTTATTCATAAGAGTGTTTCTTCTAGAAACTACAGAAAATATCCCCAGTTTTAGTGGTCAACATTAGATTGAGATACGATTTTCTGCAATCTTAACGACGAAATTTATTTCTACTGCTTCGTATTTTTCAACAAATTTGTCCACAAAACTAGAGCAAGCATGTAAACATGCAAATATATATATACATCGATGCATGTATGTGGTTGCATACATATTTATTGAAGATGTTTTAAGATGAATACTTCCGTCAAAGTAAGGAACTGTAAGTGACGTATTTTCAGGTGATTGAAGCTTGGATTCAAATCGAATTATATTATAAATAAGAAAATTATTTGTCCGCTTCCCTTAAAGTTATAGTAAATTAGTGAAAATAGTTGCCAATCTGTTTAAACCAATTTTTCTATTAAATATTTATATACTATATTCTTTTAAATACGTATAAAAAAGTTCAATGGTCAAAATGTTTCGTTTATTTTATAAAGAAAATTTAAGTTAAAGGAAGGAAAAACATTTCAGTTTCCCATGATATGTCGGATATATGGTACTTAAGCGATGGATAATTATTTGATATTTTAAGTAATACTTTCATTATTAAAGAAAACACATTGTATAGCGAAACAACTTTAACAAAGGAAAGAAATTACATTAAAAAATAATCGCGAGTACATAATTTGTATTTCAGTACATTAATATTATGAAACTGAAATTATATCCACCCGGAATTTCTTAATTTCGTGCAAATTACTTTACATATATCTTACTTTAACTTGTCAGTTGCCCTGCAAAATATTTTTGTCTTTAAAAATTAGTTTTATAAATTTTTGTTATTTTCTTTAAAACTAAGCACTGGAGTAAAAGCCAAGTATGTGGGTTCTAGAATTCGATTAGTCAATTAGTGTAGTAGTAGTAGTTCAACGTGAGTTAAAATTACAAAATTTCTATTGCTTAGTAAGTGTTTTGAATCATATATGTATTATGGTTGGGCGAACCAATAAGGTGGTTGGATTTTGTGAACCATATGCATAAATCAAAATAGAGAAAACATTCTATCCTTAAATTCGCATTCGCATAAATATCGAACGTGTCGGTCTATACATTAACTCCAACAAGAAGTTAGACAACTACCACTCTAGTCTTTTTTATCACTGAGAACTTCTTGAGATCTAAATCTCTATTTCGACGAAAAAATTGAACACTTTTTAGTTTTCCTAAAGTTCGGAATTTCTGATTTTTTAATGGTTATCCTGAACCTTTTTAGTAGTGAAAGGAGACTCGTTCCGAAGGCATATTTTTTCCTCGTTAAACATAATATCAGAGTGGAGTTCTAGTCATTTTAATATGAGAATGTGAAGAATTATAAATAGACCACTGGGTTAATATTATTTTATTAAACCCCTGGAAATAAGCACATAATTCAATTATTTATGTCCCAATGTTTCATAGCGTTATAGCGAGTAATTTTCACTATTCATTTACACGATATAATATTTATATAAAGAAAATAGTTCCACAAAGAATTTTAACAAATCAAAGTTTGTTCGACACTAATTTCAACTGCAAAAAATTTAAAATTATTTTATTCGTATATTGCCTATGTAAGTAGACAATTGTTTCGTCTAATACATTTTTCGAATTTTTTTCATGTCAAACAGGTTACGAAAGGTTAAAATGGATCAACGAAAACTAATGGATAATGCCAATACAATAACAGACATGGCGAAGGTAAGAGCTAAATACAAAACGCAAATATATTTATACTAAAGGTGATCTAAAATAACTAACATTTTTCCATTTCCAAATTAATTTTGATCCACTTAAAATTATATACTCAAAAATTTTAATTTTCAAATATTGTCAAAGACATTTGCAATGCTACAAATAGATATGTGTATGAAACTATCTTTAAATGAAATAAGGCAACATTTTTAGTTATTTTTTAATTTATGTGTATTTAGTTTTATTTCTACCATAACTTCCACATAACTTCAAGTTGTTCTTAATTGTTTTATCGGTCTTAGTGTAACGAAAATCTTACTTTCTCGTATGCAAAGATGTGCATGTATTTCTGATCACAGCGACAAGCTATTATAGCATACTGATTTGGTTTCATCTTATTGTAAAAGTAACGTCGGTCGATCTGCCATCTTAATAATCTATGAATCCAAAGTTTTAAGTATATCTCCTAATGTATGAATGAGTTTTCGATTGGCTGATTTGTGGCGATGGTTACATAACCACTACTAGCGATCAACAATTTATTAAAGGTAGATTCATTCGTAATTGTTACGAAGTCTTGTTTGTCATAATTTTAAGGGTGTGTGAAATTAAAAAATAAAGCAAATAACCTTTGACTTAAACGTAGGTGTTTTTGGGAGGCATAACTCGCTAGGTTATACCTTTAAAAAATAAACCAAAATTTTAAATCAATATCTCAAAAAGTATTTTAGTTACAGCCTTCTGGTTTTATCTACGGAGAAAGCCGAAATCACTTCAGCGATAGGGGACCTTTTTTTAGCGCCGTTAAAGATCGCATGTGACTCGAAAAATATAAACATGTTTTCTTTAAAAATTCTACTATGTATTATAAAAATATATTGTATATAAATGTTTTAAAACAGTTAATGAGTAGTTTTTATTTTAATTCCACAAATATCCGTTTTTCTAGGGTGTTACATTTGGAGTGCCCCTTAAAAGGAACATTTTTGATTGTATGCAATACTATAAATAAGTATGTAGTTTTACGTGTGTTATTCCTGACTTTGGGTGTGGGCCATCCGCAGCTCAAAGGCTAAATCAATTGTTTACAGTCTATAAATATACACATATGCACACACCTATATTAAAGTATTCAAAAATAATAACAAAGTGCTACTCCAAAAACACCAAAAATCAGAAAATTCAAACGAAAAATATTTATAGAAAATTAAGTAAAATGAATTCGTAATCATGAAGTTTGCAGACGGTAGGTAATTCGGCGAAAATTCTAAAAACAATGCTTCAATTGAAATGAATAATGACTTCGGCCTGTACATTCCTCATAAAAAATTTTAAAGACCATTTGAGAGGCGTTTGTAGGTTTTCAATTGTCTAAAATTTACCGATTGGTATGCAACTGAAGCAGAGATTATAAATAATATATTATTAAAAACATAACGTTTTTCAAATAAATTAAGGAATATCCCAAGTACAATTTAATCCAATCCAAACAACGAATTTTTTATTGTATATTGTATTCGTGGGTTCCGCGGATGTCATAGCAAATTTAATAAGAGGATATCTATATTATAGTCGATGGCGATCGTCCGATTCATTCATCTTCTTTGACAAAAATGTACAGAAGAAACCATTGGATGATACGGATACCATTGGATGATTCCCAAATGGTTATACTGCTGCTAATAACGAGATGTCAATGAAGCTCAATTGAATATGTAGTGGATGTTCTACAGTTCTAAAACCTCTATAACGCCCAACATTCTATCATGCATAATACCCAACAATCGGCGTTTTTAGGAATTAGCGGAAAAATCGCTAACAAAATAAAGTATGTCCCTTTAACGGTGTCCCCTTTGCAGATATAAGGATAAAAGAGTACAGTGGCAAATTATTTTTATACATTATACATCAATAATATTTTTATTGTAAATAGAAGGTTGCTAATTAAATACTTTAACATTATTTTAGACTCAAAACACAGTCTACGAGATTATTTCGGACATGTCGAGTCGTCAAGATGCTATTGAAGAGCGACTGACAAATTTAGAGGATAAATTGCAGTCATTGCAGGTAAATTAAAAATTACACTGATAAACAAAATCTTAACTTATTTTTTGTTACGGGAAAACTCATATCAAATTTTGAATGACTGGGGCCACTGAACAATAATATTTGAATGAAAAAATTTCAGGTTTTCTTGTGACATCAAAACATATACATACTTTTTTAAATAGTACAAACATCAGCTACATTTAGAGAAATTATTGCCTAATATACAAAAAACACTGATGATGATGACTTGTGAATATTAGGTCCAGTAAAAAGTTCGTTCGGTTTTTTATTGATTTTTCAAAAGATGATAACTTTTTGTACATTTGTCCGATTTAAATCAAATATGCGCCAACGAGATGCCAACTTCATTATACCCCTCTCGTAGAAGCCTGCGTCTCTACTGGCAAAAAACTCGGAGAGCCAATTTTCACAGGCCTCTCTTGAGGCCAACTTCTCACCATTAAGCCCGTATGCCATGGACAGGAAAAGATGGATGGATCACTTGGTGCTAGGTCCGGACTATAAGGTGGGTGCATTAGGACCTCCCATCCGAGCTCCCGGAGCTTCTGGCGCGTCACCTAAGGCGAGTGTGGCCTGGTGTTGTCCTGATTGAACACAATTCGGCCTTAGTTGATCAAAGATGGCCTCTTCTGGATGAGTGCTGCCTTCAAGCGGTCCAGTTGTTGGCAGTAGAGGGCCGAATTGAGCGTTTGGCCATAGGGGAGCAGCTCGAAGTAAATGATTCCTTGCCAATCCCACCAAACACACAGCAAAACCTTCCTGGCCCTCAATCCGGTCTTGGCCACCGTCTGGGCCGCTTCCCCGAACTTTGACCACGACCGTTTGCGCTCAATGTTGTCGTAAGTGACCCATTTTTCATCGCCAGTCACAATCCGCTTCAGAAACAGGTCGATTTTGTTGCGATTCAGCAGCATTTCGCAGATTGAAATTCGGTCCATGATATTTTTTGCGTTAGTTCGTGTGGCACCCAAACATCGAGCTTCTTTTTGAATCCAAGGTTATGCAAATGGTTCCAAACGGTTTTCTGGCTTATCTTTAGTTCCTCAGCAATTAAATAAGTGCTTACGTGACGGTCTGTTTCCACTATTTCTATGATTTTATCGCAATTTTCGACGACAGGCCTCCCGGCGTGTGGTGCATCTTTGATATCGAAATTACCGGAACGGAACCTAGCAAACCACTTTTGTGCAACACGTTCGTTTGCAGTATCGGGCGTATAAACTAAATTAATTTTTTCAGCCGCTTTGGCTGCTTTTTCGCCTTGATCGAACAAAAAATGTAAAATATAACGAATTTTCTCTTTGCTGGTGTACTGAGTCAATCAATCGAGAAACTGTCAAAGACAAACTTTTAACGCGAATAAACACGTTTTCAGCGCTGTATAGTATGACATGATGCTTCATTTCTTAGAAAAAAGTCAAACGAACTTTTTACTTGACTTATATTTGGCTTCTGAAAGGTCTGTCTTCTCCATAAAGAAAATGTCTTATTGAAACCTCTCGCCTTGTTCGTCACTCACAGAAGTTCAGATGAGAGTCCATAATGTGTATTTTTAAGGACATATTACACCTCATTATAAATTTATTTATAAAGTATTTTAATTTATTTTCTGATTTATTGTTTCTTAGAAAACTTTGGAAACTATACACAAAACATTTCCAGGAGAGTTTTTCCTGATCATTCAGTTTCTCTTCAAAGCTCTTATCATTTATTAGTTGCCGTATTTGTGGACCCACAAATATTTCGTCTTTAATTTTTACCTCATTGAGCTTGGGGTTACTATGTCAGATATACAAACCCACTGCCATGTAGGCATAGCTTGCACAAAATTGTTTAACAGGCCGACCTTTATGTGCAAGTTTGGATACTGAGTAGTGTGTTTGGACTTGGTTGTAATGCCTTTTGTTTGAGTCAAACAAAAATAACCTAATAGCACTCTCACACAAGTTACACAACATTTATGTGAAACCCAGGATTAATCTTGATTCTTCACAGAAAATTCAAAATAGTCTAAATAGCACTGTTCAATTAATGGCGTGAAATTACGACGCTGATATTTAAAAGTTAATTCTTCACACACATAACAAAAAATGTCGGGGTCATTAGAACACTTTCGTGGCATGTTTACGATGTAATATACGTATATATGATATATGTAAGTTATTCGAATGCAACACAGTCGTATAAATAAAGTTATTTAATAAAAAAGACATGTACATATCTATATGTGGACAAAAATGAATATGTAGCTGTCAGAAAAAAACTGGACGTGATTGAAACAAAATTAATATACATATATTGTTAACGAGGATACACCAACATAAACAAAAATTATCACAGTTCGTGTGATAAAAACAGTGTGTGTTATGTTATGTTTGTATACTAATTGTGAAATATTAAAATTTGTAATTTGTCATTGTAGGACCATTTAGAGACCTTACCTGACGTAATATCTCGTTGTCTAACTCAACATCAAGAAAGGATAGAACAACGCAAGAACTTTCTACATCCAGATGCAGCAGCTACTTCAGTTCAGGCGTCGCCACAGTCCCTGTTCAACGCATCTCCGATGTTATTTCCCCATTCAAGGTTTGTGTAGAACTTACTTTTTTCTTATGTATGTGCAAATGCTTCTCCTTGCACTTATGTTTTTCGGTTTCCTCCCTATCCACTTCCACAAAATTTTACACTTTCATGCAGAAAAATACTTGAAGAAATGCAGTGCTCGAACAGAAATTCTCACAACGGCTCTTGTTTCATGTGAATTGATTAAAGTTCATTTAATTTTTGAAAGGCCTTTCATTACCAAAGTTAAATATATAATACATATACTAAACAATGAAGAGTGATCAATTGTGATCAATTAAGAAAGACCGTAGATGTGATTTTCATCAACATCCATGAATGGTTTGTCAAGCCAAGTATAAAAGCCCTTCTGATGTGATTTCTCTAGTAATTTTCCAACGTGGCATGAATTTATAAAAAGAGAGTGCATTGTATGATATGTAGTATGTGTTATAGAACGATTTAAAAGTAAACAAACATTTCTAAACACAAGACCAGATGCCAAGCTAAATGTTATGCATCAACAAGACGTCTTAGTTAATTTGATTCAAACGCACGATTGTCAACGACAATACCAAAAACACTATAATCAAATAAAACTCTTCTAAAGAATAATCATGAGAATCAGGATCTTTTAGATTATTAGTTACAGTTCACCTAATACAAGTTTCTAATCGAAGTACTTTGCTAGATGAGATTTAAATTATTGTACATAGTTTGATAAATTAATTAAAAGTGACTTTTTTTATAGATATCTGTCCTGCAAAAACTCATACTTACTACCAGCAAACTGTTGATAGTTTTTTTTAAATAAATCAGTATATTTCATGTTATTAATCGTGATCAAACTGCTTGCTTTTTGCATAGAAGTGTTCCCTCATCCAATAATGTTGCTGCAACATACCATTGGCCAACCAGTCCTATTTTGCCACCTGTATCTAGTAGAACTCCACATTTAGTGCCTGATACTCACATGCCATCGAATGGATCTGCCGCAGTTAATAGCTACGCATCTTCCAATAAATATGGCAGCTGAATAGAAGAAAATGAGTGCTCCACGCCCGTCACAAACATCGAAATGCCTACCATTATGATACCACTGTCACTAACATCACATACGTTAAAGATTGCAAAACCAGAAAATATATTTACCGGGGTCAAATGCAATTCCGATTTGTCATCAAATGTCGGCCGAAGAGTCCCTAATGCTTTACATTTCATCATGGAGACTACAATTTCCGAAGACGCCGAAACATACGCCATACAAGATTCGCCGGATAGTTCATCAACAACAACACAACTACAAAAAGCACACTCGGCATCACCAACCGTATGCACAACAGCCGCGACCATGGCTGCCAATAAATTCACCAGGAAGAGAGAACGTCTATATAGTAGCTATAGCTTTATAAATAACGGTAATAGTACTAATTCTAACGATTTCATTTCTAAAACGGACTACTTTAAGCCTTCTTCGAAATGAAAGCGACCAAATAATTTAATATATCACCTAGTTCTAATTTACGCACATATGTACATGTATACACATCTCCCATTGCGTTAACATCTTTAGATATGTAAGTTTTAATTTATTATGATCGGTCAACAAGGGTAATCTTTGAAACATGGAACATACATACATAAACTTATGTATTACCATATAAATATACCTATAATTTAACTGTAATTATGTGTTTTTACATACTGTAAACTTGTATATTCTTATGTAGTACGTATGTATATATAAATATTCATAAATTAAAGAAACGCTACACAGAAAGTACGAAATAAGATATACATACGTACATGGTGGAATTACGTCCAAAGGTGGCACTTGTGTAAATTTTGACAGAACTTGCTTTGATATTTTCATCTACACTGTTCAAATTCCCTTTACTTTTACTTATATATTATATTACATATACATATATATAAAAATTAAGTGAATTTACAACTTATTTTATTAGTTCATTGAACAAAAAATTACTTGTCCTTATTAAACACATACTGACTCCTTTAGAACTTTGTTGTGAGGAAGAGAAAGCTATATCGAAGAGGATACGGTAAAAAGAAAGCATAAATGTTACTAATTGTGAATTGTCTTGTGCTTTCTGGAAACTTAAAGACTGAAATTCGCTGGATGATTCATATGCACAGGATGTTTAAAACAATATTGTACATAAATTTTTTGGGTTTTGACGAAATTAATATTCACTAGTTATCCCTTCAACTATTTAAATATTACTTTAATTTTTTTGTACTTGAAATTTCGCCCAACCACTATATCACGTGATGAATTTATTATGATACACCTGCTTATGATTCCACCATGGTTCTGTTTCACATTCGAAATGTACGAATATATGGTGTATTAAAAGTTCATCAGTGCACAATCATAGAAACATCTTATAACATTCGATTCTGGAGATACATACATACGAGCATGTGCACTATGTGGAAAAAGAACATCAACGAAAAAAAATGCAAGGTTTGTTTCTGAATATTGGACCAAAACAATTGTTTTCGAGAGATTGAGTCATAAGTGAAAAAGAAGCCTCCAAAATCGAAGTATGTGACTTCGATGTTCGAAATTAAGCTTATTTCAAACATTCTTAATTATAGTACATAAGTTATTAAAAAAGTAAATATAATATATGGACACAATCTACTCTTTCTTCTTATTTCAAAGAGGTATAATATTCTGTCAGTCTTATATGATAGATGCTATATGTAAGTGACCAAAGTTAGATCTTCGAAAAAATTTTAGCTTTTAGTTTTTTAAAATTTCTAGCCTAATTTTTGGAAATTTGATATTGTTGGGAATGTACGTGCTGTGTTTGTTCGTGTATATGTGTTTACCATTGCAAAGTGGTCTCGCTTGTATGGGGTCTCAGCCATTAATACTTTTAGTGTTTTTTCGTTTTGAAATTTTCACCAAAAATCTATAGAAGTATGATATGTATATATATAATATTATAAAAAATTGGGCACATCGTACGACTATATCCACATTTTCAAGAATATTCGCATTGATTGGTGGTACTCAAAAATAGTGATAACAAAAAAATTAACCAAGAACAACATTTAAATATTTTTTACATACTTTTTACTTTCTTTATATACTTTTTACTTGACCTAATATTATAATTAGAAAGCAAACAAAAATTTTACAAGTAATTTTCATATTGTCTCCTCTCTATAGTTGACTTTAATAGCGTTGATTTGTGGTTATAAGCTAGTTTTTGTTGCCCAGTAATAAAGGATCAGACCTTAAAAGCAATTTGTTCATTAAATCTGTATTTGAAGCGACGCGTGAAATTTTCTGTATATGTTGTAATCGGAACCTTTTTGTATCTTTAATCCTTGCCTGCCAGCTTCTTTAGAAAGCTCTCCAATCGGAACCAAGGAATATTTTATAACTTCAAAACCAAGAAGTAAAATTGTATGCACCGTTGGAGGGAATTAAAACCAGGAATATTTTCCAGCCAGCTGCTTTGTAGTTTCAAGAGTAGTAGTTTTTTATTACCTTAAGACATGTACAAATAAAATGAAAAAGAAATTAATGGAGCAATCGGGGGGAACACAACTAAAACTTTTTGTTATTATTATATATTAAAGACGCACACGAAATGCATAAAATACAGGGTAAACTAAAGTATCGATTTAATAATAACTACAACATAAATTAGTTTTTGTTAATTTTGTAGCATAAAAGAAATACCGTTAACTTCAAAATCCATTAAAAATAATTTTAACTCGTACCGTAACACATCGCCTGACCACTTTGAACTTCGCTTATATTGTGAAATATTCACTCTGCGTGTAATTAAAAATGATCTTTGAAATAGGCTCAATTTCGAACTTCGAAGGCAAATTTTCGATTCTGGAGGCTAACTACGATAAACGGAGAAATTACTTTTTCACTTATGAATCCCTCGAAAACAATTGTTTTGCCTCAATACCCAGCCAGGAGTTCTACAGAGTTATTTGAATATAATTTGGGAATATGTAAATATATATAACAAGCAGTATGTAGTAAAGTAGTAAAATATTATGAGATTCGGATTAAATACAACTAAAATTCTTTAAATTATATAGACACAGAGACATAACTTAGTAAAAAGAATTGTCTATATTAGATACAAGAGTTATTTTGATGAATACGTTAATAACAGAGCAAGATCACATCAAATGGACCCCCATTGACCTCTTGAACATAAAAATTAAGTCCATGTATATTTTTCATAAGTAGGTGCATTGTGAAACTTATCCACCCATCGATTTTTGAAAATTTTAATTTTGACTATAATTTTTTTTTAATGAAAATTTTAAGTAGTTTTACTTAAAAAATTCTTTTTAAATCAACCGTTAAATATAAATTAAGTGAAATCTTCAGGATTTGTCGAAAAATATTTATTTCTTAACTTAATAATAATAATTATAAATAATTTTTTATTATCATACTGTCGATTAACTTTTAAGTTATCAACTAAAAATTTGAGTGACTTCTCAGTAAAGGTATGAAATTTTTTTTTTTTTAGTTACATGCGTTATTTAGCTATGTGTATGAGTCCGGAAGAAAATTTCACTGCTCGCAATTAGTTTAAACAATTTTTAACAACAATTATTTATCACAGCGTGCCGAGTACCAATCGCACAATCTCAAAGAGCAGCCGAGCATCAGACTGCATTACTCTATATAGGTCATGATCACTGAAAATAGGAATGTGGGGTTGTTATGTGATTACTAAAGTGACGTTGAAGGCTAGCACGATAAGCCTGTTTTTATACTTCCTGCTAAGCCGTCACTCGTTCCTTTGCCATGAGATGCAGCGAAAAAATTCGACTCGGCTTGAACTCCAAAATTATATGTGTGATTTATTAGATTAGCAAAGTTATGTTTATTTTTAGATTGCGAAGCTGCTTCATCAGAAAAGTATTGAATTTTTAACTTTGTACGCACCAAATTCTTTTTTTTTTGAAACTCAATAAATTTTGTATTAAATAAATGTACCAAACTTGCGACATGGCTAAGTTTTCCTGATATCACTACAAAATTTGTATGCTGTATTTCATCATTTTCTAACGTTTTGTGCTATTAAAGTGTTTACTGCGCTTTAGTTTTAATATACATTTTTCCTTAACTGTCGGTACTTTTCCATTGGCTAAAAGACATTTCCTTTATCTAATGACTATCGCTCAATAACCTAAAGTTTTCAATGAGGAAATCTATTTCAGGACACTTTTTACACCTAGAAAAAAAAACTAGTTGATGAAGGTTGACCGCAAAAAGAGATTTCAATAAAGTGATTTAAGCTTTCAGAGAAATCAATTTCATTTTTTTTAGTTCATTCTTTAGTCCATGTAAATGTAATTTTACATTTTGGTGTATTTTGCATAAACACACTATGTGTTTCGCTTTTCTCGCTGAAATACATTCTCGTGGTCGTAACGCTTGGAATTTAGTCTGTGAAATTTTGTCATCCGCAAAAGTTTCTTTAAATTGGATATATATATCATTAATATTAAAAAGTAAGAGTCTTTTCTGCTTTTGGATTTTAATACCATTCTCTAAAACCATAAGATAATCTTTATTTTCAGGCATCACACGGCAAACATCATCAGACAAAAAAAAAATTTATGCGATCGAGTGTTTAACTGTCCAGACCTTTTTTACTATCAGGCTGTGACGCAAATCCTAATATTTTTGGAAGCTTGTACCATTCTTTTCGAGACTCTGAATTCGTGACGTATCATTTTTATTGGCTAATCTAACAGAAGAGTAGTCGAGACTTTAATTTTTTCGGATCTACTATTTGTTTCGTTAAATGCATACTTAAAATTATTCAAAAGAAAGTCATTTGGATTGTTATGATTATTATCAGTACCAATCCATTTCTTCACAGAAGTTAGAATACTTTTTTAACACGCTGAGAACCTCGACACTCGGCTTAATTTTAATTGTGGTTCACCTGGTTGATTGCTCTCTCACAAGAATTACACATATGTATAACATCCGATAAAAATCTTTAAGATCGCAAGCTCTATTCGATGTAAGTAGAAATAAGTTTTTAATAACGTATTTAGGACTATTTTTTTTAACGGATTGCAACACTTATTTACTCGTCCCATTTTAAAGCACAAAAATTATTATTAATATGTTTTTTATAAAATAAACTTAACGGATCAACGTATAAACGTATTATATTTAACGAACAAATTGAAATTAGTATTAATATTATTTTGATAGAGGAGACGAGAATAACTATCGTAACCAACCGTTATATTTTTTTCTGTGATAAATAAATGTTGTTAAGAATTGTTTAAACTAATTGCGGGCAGTGAAATTTTCTTCTGGAATCTTAAACTAACTTAAATAACGCATGTAACTGAAAAAAAAAAACTTAACTTAGTTAATTAACGGTATGATAATAAAAAAATTAATTATAATTATTATTATTATGTTGAAAAATGGTAATTTTCCGACAAATCCTGAAAATTTTTCTTTAACGGTTAATTTAAAAACAATAGTTTAAGTAAAAGTATCTAAAATTTTCATTTAAAAAAAATTATAGTTAAAATTAAAGTTTTCATTTAAAAACAATTATAGTTACAATTTTCAAAAATCTTTTAGGGAATAAGTTTTTCAATGAACCTACTTATGAAAAATACAAATGAGCTTAACTTGTATAATCAAGTGGTAAATGGGGTTCCACTCAACACTAATATTATAATTCTATGAAAAACAGTTTAACTTAAATACTAAAAAATGTTGATTAAAAACGCAATGCAGACGCTACAAGACAAATTTAGTGAAGCAACATATGTTTTCCACCTTCCACTTGACTCACTTCATTGATTATTCTATTGTACATGTGTATGTATGGAAATAAAAAAAAATATTAACTTCAGCAGGCAATGACCGGCTTAACACACACATATACATAGATATGTACATTTTGAATACAACTACAATTATTTCCCCACATGAAATTTCACAATTAATAGGTCTATATAAGCTAAGTGCTTAGGTGTATTATTTTAATTTTTTTGTAACTGAAGAAGGAAGATAGAAAATACTCCGCTAAATGACCGATTGAGAAAATATAATATATAACATGTCATAGGCTATATACATACATACATACATTATAATTATTGAGTCTCAAATGGCGTTTGTACGACAGACGTACCAATTTGTAAATACGAGTACTAATTATTGTGACATGTTTCCACAATGGAAACTGTAACTCTTTAACTGTTTTATTTTGGTTCCATTATTACAGAACACAATGTGGATTGACAAGTTTGATACCAGTTTAAAAATCTGGTCTCAAATAAGAGAAATCCTCAACATTTATTAAGATTTATTATTTATTTATTTACTATTTGTTAAGATAAAAAGTATTTATTGTATAATATGTAAGTACTAAATAAAATGAATGTTTGTTATAATAATGCGAGTGAATTTTGAAAAATTATATTCGTGTGATTTTGTAGACAAAGTATTTAAATACATTTTTACCTTTTTAAGGAAAAGGAAAAAAGACTTATATAAGTAATTACAAAACAGTTAGATAAACAAAAATGTGGGAACTCTAATTAACGTTAATCCCTTTTACGCTGCTTACTGAACCCAACACCTCTATTAAGTTGTCTGTCAAGCCAAATATTTAATTACCCAATTCTTTTTTTTACTATTCGAAATACAATAGAAAATTCTCCTCCTCCTCCTATTATGTATGGCGACTGCGAGTATAGTTACTAGTATCGAGTATAGTCATTTACTATTTTTGATGTATATTTTTCACTACTATCCTTTGTTATAGTATACAGAAATGGCAAATTCAGTCAGCTACTCATGACTGCTCAAATTGTTCAAGACCAGTTTTCTATAGTATTTTGCGGATATCGTTGCCCTTAAAATAAAATGCTTTATGCAAATGTATATTTGTAATATTATACATCGTTTCACAATTTTGTTGTAAAATACTTTTAAGCAGTTACAATATCTATTGATATGTTTATATAAAATTTATAATTAGGACTAAATGATACATTTGTATATGATTATAGTCAAAAAATCAGCTGATGCATTTAGTGCGCCGAAAATTAATTCAAACCTGATAAACAAATAATTTTAATGAAAGTCATTGTTTTCTTGCACAAATTTGAGAATTGCTAAGAAATACTTTAAACAGTGGTTCCCAAAAATGTAAAAAAAGGGATTTAGTATTCATTTTCAAGTATACTGTTTTAGACCATCAACTATACCATATTCGCCTTCCATAATTCATATGTTAGATATAATACATTCATTTCAACTTTATTAACAGCCATACCGTTGATATTTTCAAAATTTTGTACATATGTGCACACAAATGCTTGGACCCCTGAATTGAAAGGATATGGATGTTGTCCAAGTGTCGATTTTCAAAGCCATTCGTTTATAGCTTCTGAAGTTCCACAGACACTCGAATAGCCTCAAAAAACGTTTCAATTT